TGTAATGTGGCAATAAGATTGTAACTGTATTGTGTATTTAAACCATGGCCATGTTCATCTATGTAAACGCATGAAATCAACATTAACATTATAGCAGACACCGTAAAAAGCTCATTTCCAGCCACTAGACAATTCTGACAGGGTATTTGAGTGTCATCGAGTGTCAGATGTGAAATTATGTTGTGAGACTACTATACAGGACTTCTTTTTAGGAATTATAGGTAGCAAAATTTAGCAGTTTTTATTTTAGCGTTTAATTTAAGGATGAAGGTAAAACACAAATGTGGTTATGAATATGTTAAAGGGCATCTATGGTGAAAAATCTACTTTTCAAGCTGTTTGGGCAGAAATATGTGTAGGTACACGTATAGTGTAGAGGCGGTCATATTGGGGTGATATAAACACACAGAGACCTTTTTTTTTAAATTTAACAACATAAAAACACCCGACCAATTGAAGCGGTTTTCAGACTGACCGCAACTTGACGTAGGAGTGCGGTCCCTCCGCCCACCGAATTGATTGAAAGCTGCGTAACATGTAGTCAAGTAGTCACGTGTATAATCATATAAACAATACAGGACATGCGCAAACGGAAATAAAAGGTCTGTTCAGTTTACTAGGATCATCAATCGTGATCAAATGTGATCAAGAGTGAGTTTCACAAGTTTAAAATGTTTTAAAACAGTGCATGTGTGTAATGAATTACAGCGATCTACTTCAGATTCACTTCATCAGCACAGCCGCGTGTCAGAACAATTATAAAAGAAGATGCCTCAATCCCGGTTTGTGGATGTTAAATCAGGTTTATTTTGTACATTAACATAACAGATATCCATACAGCAGTGAAGATTAGACTGTATCCTGTCACATTTGCGTGCAAAAAGAGTGCAAAGCTAAACGTGCTGTCTGTATGTATGTGCGTATCGTGTCCGTGCTGGGTATGTGTGTATGTGTGTGTGCGCGTGAACTTTGTAACGACATTGTGTGTGACTCATCATTGTAACTTAACACAAAAAATGCATCAAATACTAATTAGCCGCGTTTCCACTATCGCGCCTAAAGCGAGCAAGCCAGGGCGAGCCAAGGCCAGTCGAGTTTCCACTGTCACTTCCCGGGTGTAATCGGGCCAAAGCGGGGCTTTCTTGGGGCCATCGACCGGCCTTTTTCAGCCCGCCGAATACCTTGGGCCAAAAAGGGCCAGCTGGGGCTTCACGGCGGAGTGAAAGGAGAGGCGGAGTGCGGACACAGTTTTCCAATCGCACACGAGTACATGCGCCAAACAAATAAATAAGGGAAAGAAAACATCTAGCCTTATAGGCTGGAATCTTTTTGCTTATGATCGCCCTTATGTTTCCCTTTTAAATGTAAGGCAGTTGCATAAAATAATAAAGTTTTAATTTATAAGTGACATTCTTTGCTGCCTCCTCCTTGATGTTTCAACAACGCATACACAGTAAAGGTTTTCGAGAGTTTTTGTCAAGTTTAAAAGGTGTGTTTGTGCACGTTTAGATGCCTGTATGTGTGTGCGAGACCGAGCAAAAGAGCGCTCCCTCCACAGCTCTTTTGATGCTGCTCAGCTTTTTTCTTTTTGTTTTGATTTGGAGATAATACACAATATGAACACAACAGAAAGACATACAACTTTACAAATTTCGTGTTTTGTAGACTCAAAACAATAGTGCCATATATTGATAAAATAGCCTAAACTATATTAAAATAATTTGAAGAATTACAAATATAGGATATAATAAAATCGCATTAAATAAATAAACCAATGTAAAACTAACAAAAGCTAAACCAATTTAGGTGTATACAATACACTAATCAAACCGTTTTAAAGCCATATCAAACTTTCATTTTAAAAAGGCATCTCTGAAAAAAAGATTTTAGATATTGTCTAAAAACAATACAATTGTCTAACAACAAACAACACTGGAGGAGGTTTAAAATATTATTTATAAAGTATTTGGATACGATGATATTAATCAAATCCTGCAAACAGAGCATTTTTTGGGTGAGTGAAAGCTGAAACTATAGGCGACCTTTTTTTTCTGTAGGCTAGGCTATCTTTCTTTCTTAAATACATGAAGAGCTTTATTAGTGAATAGCTGCCTAGCGCAACAAAATTTGGGCTATATTTTATTACTTGCTTTCATGTGCTGAAATACTTAATACTTTCCTTAAGATATAATATGCAACATCTTTAAATAAAGGGGAATCACCTATTAAGAGTCATATAGCTTATAGGGAAAAAATTATATGTTTCAAGTCTCTCTGAAGCATTTGGGCTAAAAATGACAGCATCTATCTAAATCAGAATGTTATAAAATACATTTTCTACAGAGTTATTAACGAAGAATTTCTGTGGTGTTATGGATGGTGCGCTCCCTGAGCTGGCGAGACCACTCTATTTAGATGCCAACAGTCGGTTGGCGAGTAAATGAATATGATGAATGAAAACACACAGGTCTGTGCGTATAGACATATCATGTACTGCTGTACAGTAACGTGTCATTTGTTTGGTTCAGTTGTCTTCATTTTAATGATTTCGTGATGGTGTGCTTTATCTGCCTGATTCCTGCTGAAGTGGGCGGCTTGTGTGACATTTGATTTGGGGGACTTTCTGGGGGCGGGGTTTGCATGACGCGCAGCGAGCTACTAGCCCAACAGTGGAAACGTGACCTCACTGCTCAACCTCCCGTGCGATTGGCCCAGCCCAGCCCGATAAAAGCCCTGGCTCGCACTGGCCCGACAATGGAAATGCGGCCAGTTGTAAAGTTCTTACTGTAGTATTTCTCACAAACGCTACGTGAGATCTGCTTCCTTTATGTCTGTTTGTTGTCTGACACAGCCGAGGCAGGAGATTAAGGCACGCAAAAAGGCACGTAGAAATGATGGGCGGGGAGGACTAACCCTAAAGGTGCAGTACAGCAAAACTGCCAACCAGTGCAAAAATGTATGACACCGAATCTTATAAAAGGTATAATAAAAAATCTGATGGGTGTTTTAAGCTGAAACTTTACAGACACATTCTGGAGACACAACTGATTTATAATAAATCTGAAAAAGGGGTAACCTACGTGCCCTTTAAAACATACGCTTGTTTGTTGTAAAAAATTTGTATTAATGATAAAAAAAATTACTAGTATGTCCATCTCTTTGCTTCCATATGTAGCCATACTGCCATTGTAGATGGTGTATTCTGGGAAGTTTTCTTACCCCTTGGTTTCGAGTGTGGTCCTGTCCTGAAAAATCTCACTTTCAAGGGCTGTCTTAGCCCTACGCCTTCAAGCTAAAGAGGATTGAGACACCCCTACACCTTCACGTGAACGCAGAAAATGAGAGGTAGAATTGGGTCTAACAGAAAATAACATACAAATATAATGACATATTTATTATTATTATATTTTTACAATGTAAACTGTAATGTTTACATAAGTGATCATTCAGAGAATGTTCCTGATTTGATACTTAACTAACACTATCTAACATTACAAAACATCATCAATATTGAGCAATCTACTCTTAATTTTTATACATTTTTTTAAAGAACAGACTTTTTTTTAAAACAGAATAATTTTGGTACAATATTAACTCTCACTTTTGAACAATTTAATGCATTCGGACAGAACTTTTTTGGAAATCACACTGGCCACAAACCTTTGGGGCTGCAGTATAAGTTAGGGATGCACAATATATCGGTTGTCATATCATTATCGGCTGATACATGCTATTTTTAAGATTATCATTATCGATCCAATGTCAAAATTAGGCCAATATATTTAAGCCGATAAATTAGGTAATTGTACAGAGCTGCCTGCATGAGTGGGCGGAACTTGTTCACACTTGTCCTGTGCACTATAATGGATCTCTCCTCACATTGTTCATTTCTTCAAAGTCCGTCCTTTCTTTGTGTGGCATTGCTGTGCGTTTATAAGTTAGTAAGTAACTATGCTCCTTTTCATTGTAGATATGTTTTATAAAGTGTCATTGTGTATTTTGGTTTAAATCGCATAAGGAAAAATATTACTTGTGTAAACATAATAGCAGAGATGCAAACTTGCTAAACAACTAGTTGGGTTGTTTGTAATTTTATATGATTATTTGTTCTTATCACAAGTTGCTTGCCATGTGTTGTTGATGTAAGATTGTATTCAGTTTGATCGGAATATTAATATTGATAATAACGAGCCTGCGTGAGGTAGCTTTACTTGGACATTGAAAATTAAAAAAATTACCTGTCTGAAATTATTTAAGACCTACAACACTATATTTTAGTATATTTATATACACTATATTTAAGTATTTTAAAATTTAGTTTTTTAAATTTATGACATTCTAAGACTTTTTAAGGCCTTATGGACACACTGAATATGTTATGTTGTTATGTATATTAAAAGTAATAAAAATTTAACAAATGAAATTTTGAAACAACTGAACTAGTTGTTAATGTGCATGTAAAAGCCATATCAGCAATTTCCCTCTTTGGAGGGAAGGAATGAACGAACGAAGGAAGGAACAAATGAAGGAAGGAAAAAAGGAAGGAAGGAAGGAAGGAAGGAACGAACGTACGAAGGAAGGAATGAAGGAAAGAATGAAGGTAGGAATGAACAAAAGAACAAAGAAACCAATGAAGGAAAGAATAAACCAACGAACAAACAACCAAGCGAACGAAGGAATGAACGACCGAACGAATGAAGGAATGAAAGAACGAAGGAAGGAACAAAAGAAGAAACGAACGAACAAACGAGTGATAGAACGAACGACCAAAGGAAGGAAGGAAGGAAGGAAGGAAGGAATGAACGGATGGAGGAAGAAACAAATGAACAAATGAAGGAATGAAGGAAGGAACAAACAAACAAGGGATGGAAGGAAGAAAGGAACAAATACACAAACGATCGAAGGAACACATGAAGGAACGAACAATCCATTCTATTTTTACACTGTATAGAAGTCAGTCACTTTTGACACTAGTCTGTATGAGACAGCAGTTTTCTGACCTGCTCCGGTATGTCAACGAGTGAAGATGTGGCCAGCTGGGTAAAGGTGTGCAGTGTGACGATCAGCATGGATGTGGATGGGTACGAGGACACCAGCTCCTGCAGTAACTCTCTGCTGCACGACGCCAGGCTGGCATCATGGTGCATGTGCTGCAGCATCGGGATCAACTTCAGCTTTAGCTCTACTGGAGTGTCCAGTCCTGTGGTCACACACACATGCACGCACACAGTCAGACTACAGACAAATTACTCATATGAAGATCATTTACAAGAAGATTATACATACCTTGAATCATCTCACTAATCTTGTTGCAAATTCCTGCTGCAAAATCTCTGAAGGAAAAAGAAGAAAAAAGAAAAACAATCATTAACTGGTTAAAATTCTAATTATTCCTCAGGCCAGTTTCTAATATTAAAGTTAGACTTACTACCTGACAAAAGTCTTGTCGCCTATCCAAGTTTTAGGAACAACACATAATAAATTGACTTCTAGATGATCATTTGATTTCAGAAGTGGTCTATATGAAAGGCAAATGCCTCTAGATTACGCTTATTTTACCAAAATTAAATTTAATCATGCCTTGATTTTTAATTATTTTATTAGGACAGTAAGGTCTGACTTTGCTTACACAAAAGTCTTGTCACTTAACAGAAATAATGTACAGTATAGAATATAAAGCCATGCTGCAGTGGAAAAAGAATGTGTATGACTCGCCTGAGCTTGGAGGACTGCATCCATACATCTCTGCAATGATTCAAACAACTTATTAATATAGTCATCTGGGATGTCGAAGAAAGCTTTCTTGCAGGACTCCCAGAGTTCATCAAGACTCTTTAGATTCATTGTCAATGCCTCCTCCATCTTACCCCAGACATGCTCAATAAAGTTCATGTCTGGTGACTGGGCTGGCCAATCCTGGAGCACTTTGACCTTGTTTACTTTAGGAACTTTGGTGAGGAGGCTGACGTATGAGATGGAGCACTATCCTGCTGAAGATTTTGCCCTCTCCTGTGGTTTGTAATGTAATGGGGTACACAAATGTCTTAATACCTCAGGTTGTTGATGTTGTCATCCACTCAGCAGATCTCTTGCACGCCCCCATACTGAATGTTACCGAAAACCATGATTTTTCCTTCACCAAGATTGACTGATTTCTGTAAGAATCTTGGGCCCATGAAGGTTCCATTAGGTCTTCTGCAGTATTTGGGATGATTAGGATGCAGTTCAACAGATGATTCATGGGAAAATCTAACTTCTGCCACTTTTACAAATGATCAACTGGAAGTCAAGGTAATATTTGTTGCTCTTACAACTGGGATTAATGACAGGTAGTGTATGCATGACAAAACAAATGGTGAAAAAAAGTTGGCCACTTTGGTAAGTTAAAAGCCTATCAAGCTGTCTGTCATTGTGAATATTTACTTGGAGTGTGATGAGAAGCTAGCGGCTGCAAAAATAGCAGCTTCTACTTCAACATTATCATGAGAGTCCAGGCTTTGGCGGATGCTGTGGTGAGCGTTCTTTCTCTCTGGAATGATGGAAGCTAAACTTCCCAGCATTCTGTGGAAATGGAAAAAAAAAACAAAAACAAAAACAAAAAAAACATATAAATACACAGACAACATGTGTACAATCGAATTGCTAGTAGTAAAAAAATAAATAAATTGTATGAATATTTATTTATTTATTGTAATGCAATTTTAGCAGGACTGTTACATTTATTGTACAAAATATTTACTATATAACTGACAATCATAACTGTATTATAATAATCATTCATTGCACACAAAAAAAAATACTAACTAACTAACTGATAATATACTATACTAACAACGCTGATAAAAAAATCATACAAGCTGTTTAATCAATGATAAATATTCTAAAATTCCTTCTTTTTATTCACACCTTTTTAAACATTTCCCTTAACACATTTTCTGAATGAAGATGTTCTCTAGTGTATGAATATGATAACAAAAAAATCAACTATTGTAAAACAAAATAAATATTTTGATAAAACAGAAATGCTATCAAGTAGTACTGTTTAAATTATGCATGTGTGCATTTACATCTTATTGTGAGTTATTTGTAAATTTATTGTGTTTATATAAACACATACATGTACTTTTTGTATATATTTATATAAAATATTTTTTCACATATTTATCCATTATAAAAATATGTTATAATATATAGTTATAATATATATTATTTTATAATATTTATATATTATACCTTTTCAAAAACGTTTTTCATATTCATTTTTTGCGTGTGCATTTACATATATACATAATACATATACATACATAAGTATATTTCAATATATACAATATATATATATATATATATATATATATATATATATATATATATATATATATATATATATATATATATATATATATTAGAGGTGTGAACCTATACTGGTCTCACGGTTCGGTTACGATTATAATGCCTTCGATTCGGTTTAGTTCGATATTTCGGTGCATCACGGTGCATTGACGATGCTTTCCATATACAGTGTTATATTTTAGAGGGGAGGCTATAACAAGCTGTCTGTATAAACACACAGACACACAGCACCACACTGTCTCTCATTCAAACACAAACATAGACAGCACCAAAGAAACAAACACACACACACGCACACACACACACTTAAGCCCTCGCAACAGGGAGAGCTCGCGAAGAGCGGAGCAGAAAAACCAAAAAAAAAAAAGAAGCACTTTTCCGACAGTCCCTTGATGAGAGCTCCTCTCAGCGCGAGCTATCCCGGCTAAACACATATTGCGAGGGCTTAAACGGAGCAGTGCTCGTAGTGTGGAGCGAAAAAAAAAGAAAGACAGCTGTGAAACATAACTAGCTTTGTCTTTTTGTATGAAACACACTTTAGATCTTTTTAGGGTAAGAGGTTTTTGAGTTATTGCCGTCTGTAACTGAATGTGTGTCAAGAATATCGAATACAAAACCAACTTAACCGCGCTCATTTCTGGCGCCCGCCTGGATATACAGCGCCCTCAGCATTTGCCTATGGTGCCTATGCCACGGACCGGCCCTGAGTTGGCTGAGTGTTGTAAATACTCGCGCTCGCCTCCTTCGGGACAGAGCGCATAGGAGATAAATGACGTCAGTACATAATAACCGGTTATGATTATTACTGAACCGATACCGAATTGTCTGCATCTGCATCGCGGGGCACCAAAGAAACAATTAATTTTATTAATATATATACAATTAATATATAAACAATTAATATATATATATATATATATATATATATATATATATATATATATATATATATATATATATATATATATATATATATATATATATATATAAAATATATATATATATAAAAATACATACATACAGTTGAAGTCAGACTTATTAGCCCCCTTGAATTATTAGCGCCCCTATTTATTTTTTTTCCCCAATTTCTTTGTAATGGAGAGAAGATTGTTTTAGCACATTTCTAAACATAATAGTTTTAAAAACTTATTTCTAATAACTGATTTATTTTATCTTTGCCATGATGACAGTAATTATAGAAACACTTCTATACAGCTTAAACTGACATTTAACGGCTTAACTAGGTTAATAAGTTAAACTAGGCAGGTTAGGGTAATTAGGCAAGTTTTTCTATAACAATGGTTTGTTCTGTAGACGATCAAAAAAAATTTTGCTTAAAGGGGCTAATAATTTTGTCCCAAAAATGGTTTTTAAAAAAATAAAAACTGCTTTAATTCTAGTCAAAAAAGACCAGAAGACAAAATATTATCAGACATACTGTGAAAATGTCCTTGCTCTGTTAAACATCATTTGGGAATTAATTAAAAAAGTAATATATATATATATATATAAGGGTGGAGCCGAACCCGAATACGGCATTCGGAAAGGCACGAATAGCGTGTTTTTACGAATACTTATTTCGAACAAATACTTGAAAAATTATTTGTATTCGGGAGCAAGAAAAGCATTATATCAAAAAGCTGCGTTTCCTCCTGAGATCACAGTGCGTGAGTGAGAGAGAGAGAGAGAGAGAGAGAGAGAGAGAGAGAGAGAGAGAGAGACGCTCAGTCGGAGGGCGGGGCGGAGGTAAAAGGTCTCTGGCACAAGCTTCTCCACAGCAGGAGACAGAGAAGGCTCGGCTGAGCGAAAAAAAAATACTTCTCTGCATCACTATTTTTGTTGAATAGATTTTTGTACCTTAATTGGGTTCCAGATGCAGTTTATAAACTTGTAGCGGAGTTTGTTCGGGATTTTTCATGACGCTGCATTTTTGAAGTTTGCAATCGGGTGCTCTCTGTTTACGAAACGTTAGCTCTGTTAGCGCGGTAATTTAGACAATAGACTGTTGACAGAGTAACGTTAACGTTCGTTTATAAAGGTTAAAACGATGCTTTTGCTGTTGTGTCGAATAGTATGCACTTATGGGAGTTATATGGTAACGTTACGTCTAAATAACTGTCTTTTGCAGACAGCAACATATATGCTATAGGCTAGTTAACCTTAGCATAGCTTCCCATCACTTTTTATTAACTTGAAACTCCTCAAATACATTTGGGCCCAATGCAAAAGAGTGAGAGTGCTGCTGAGCCATTTCTTGGTCCTCCACCAGTAAAAAAAATAAAACTTCATGTTCTTTGTGGAAGCATTTTACAGTCAGTGGTGTTGCAGATAAAACAAAGTGATACTGTATAATGTGTGCAAAAGTGAAATCAGCAGAGGCAGAGATATTAAACATCTGTCAACATCTTCTATGCATAATCATTCATTTTCTTTTCGGCTTAGTCCCTTTATCAATCTGGGGTTTATCAATCCTCCACAAGCACCAAATCATCAACACAGCCACATTCTACCCCAGCAAGTCAGTTTCAAACATAAAAAAGTAAAAAAAAAAAAAAAAAAAAACTTTGTGTCTTTTTTGTGGCAGGCAGATGACAATATCAGGGCTGTATCTTTTAGTATGATATAGAATACTTTTGTTCTGCCAGATCCCACAGGCAGGGTTTTATTTAGATTTATTTAGCTAATCTTAGTTTTTGGAATTCTGTGCATTGGAAAGAAGTTCTTTCAGAAGAAGAACAGTTTTTTTAAATATTATTTGTTTTTATTCTGTCTATTCAGTGTCCTTTAACAAGAACGGTGGTGGTGGTGGGGTTCATAATATTCACAATGGTATTTTATTAGTTGTTGGTTTAACCATGGATGAGATAATGGCTTCTATGTTATTTTCTAATAACATAATAAAATTTCTTGTCACATCTTCAAAAACAACAACCAATATTGCATATCTATAATTTATATAATGGGTATAATTAAACAATACTTTCACTATAACGTAAATTAGAAGTGTAATAGAAAAAATATATATTTTTGCGCCATTTTGAATTTTACTCGAATACAAATACAAATACTTTTCCCCCCTCAACAAATACAAATACCGGCTGCTCCGCACATCCCTAATATATATATATATATATATATATATATATATATATATATATATATATATATATATATATATATATATATATATATATATATTAGTGCTATCAAAATTAGTGAGTTAACGCATTTGAATACCGTGCTGTCGATTACCTCACCTCGACATGCCATAGGCTGCTTGCAGCTTGATGGACACCTCAAACCACGAATCAGGCGATAGCGATCACCATAAGGTCTAATCATTTCAGCGACGTACTGCCTCATTAATATTAGTCTAGAACTGATACTAGCTACAACTTCAGTCATGGAAAAACACGGAACGTAAACAGAAAGGAGGAGCAGAGAGGAAAAGCCCTGGCCATAAAAGCAGAAAAATGCAGCAAAATCACAACTAGGTTTGCGACCAAGGGAGCAGGTTGGTCAGAATACAGCACATTTACAGTTGAAGTCAGAATTATTAGCACGCCTGAATTATTAGCTCCCCTGAATTATCAGCTCCTGCTTTTTTTTTTTTTTGCTTTTTTTTTCTGTTGAACGGAAAGAAGATTTTTACAACACATTTCTAAACATAATAGTTTTAATAACTCATCTCTAATAACATATTTATTTTATCTTTGCCATGATGAGAGTAAATAATATTAGACTACATATTTTTCAAGACACTTCTATACAGCTTAAAGTGACATTTAATGGCTTAACTAGGGTAATTAGGTTAACTAGGCAGGTTAGGGTAATTAGCCAAGTTATTGTATACTGATGGTTTGTTCTGTAGACTATCGGAAACAATTATAGCTTAAAGGGCTAATAATTTTGACCTTAAAATGGCTTTAAAAAAATTAATAACTGCTTTTATTCTAGCCGAAATAAAACAAATAAGACTTTCTCCAGAAGAAAAAAAATATTATCTGACATACTGTGAACATTTCTTTGCTCTGTTAAACAACATTTGGGAAATATTTTAATAAGAAAAAAATTCAAAGGGGGGCTAATAATTCTGACTTCAACTGTATATAATCATTTGGCAGATTTCTGGGAGATTATCATTCATTTGTGGCCATCCTGGAGTCTCTGTGCATTTGCGAATGCTCCAGCAACTTCCAGGAGACTTGGGATGTCTGGACTGGACTATCTTAGAAACTGGATGAATGTAAAGGAGGACTAAGAAAATTTGTTTCTGCTTTATAATTAATGTTCTCAACTCACAGCAATACAACTTTACAATGAGTACAATTGCTTGTATTCAATACTTTATTGTTATTATAATTTTCCAATTTCCATATCTGCAATGCCTATTTTGGCATTTTTTGCAGTGCACTTAGAATCTAACATGGAAATAATTTTTGTTTGTTATTGGCATTTTGAAATTCAAATAGCATTAACATGCTTGTGTTTTTATTTCTGTAATAATTATGGCTGTCAAGCCAGGATCTTGATGGTTTATTGTGGGTATGTTTTTTACATGAAGAAATCTGTGTTACAAGTTAAACAAAAATTCTAATAAACAATTATATTTTGAATTTAAATAGTTTTTGTCTTGCGTTTACATTAATTTTACATTTGAATAGCCAAAATTAAAAGTTTCAGTCTTTTAAATGTGATTAATCGCGATTAATTTTCAAAAAAAAGTGCAATTAATTAATTAATTTTTTTAATAGATTGACAGCACTAATATATATATATATATATATATATATATATATATATATATATATATATATATATATATATATATACATATATATACTTACATGTGTTATGTTATGTGTTATGCTAATATTTTTTAAAATGCTATATAAAAATGCTTTTTTCATAGTCATATTTGAGAGTGCATTTACATACATACATAATGAATAGACACACAGTGTGCGCAAAGTTATATTTACAGGAAATATGTGTATATATAACATTATTATAAAAACAAACATATATGTAAATATTTTTTCATATTTATTTAAAAATGTCTTTTATAGTTATGTTAATGTGTGTGTTGGCATATATACAGTTGAAGTCAGAATTATTAGCCTCCTTGAATTATTAGCCCTGGTTTATTTTTTCCCCTAATTTCGGTTTAACGGAGAGCAGATTTTTTTTTAGCGCCCCTGTTTATTTTTTTCCCCAATTTCTTTTTAATGGAGAGAAGATTGTTTCAGCACATTTCTAAACATAATAGTTTAAATAACTAATTTCTAATAAATTATTTATTTTATCTTTGCCATGATGACAGGAAATAATATTTTACTAAATATTTTTCAAGAAACTTTTATACAGCTTAAAGTGACATTTAAAGGCTTAACTAGGTTTATTAGGTTAACTTAAAATGGTTTAAAAAATAAAACTACTCATTCTAGCTGATATAAAACTAATAAGGCTTTCTCCAGAAGAACATATATTATCAGACATATTGTGAAAATGTCCTGTCTCTGTTAAACATCATTTGGGAACTATTTAAAAAAAAAAAGAGAAAATTTAAAGGCTAATGATTCTGACTTCAACTGTACATTATAAACATTCACACAGTGTGCACAGTGTGCATATATATATATGGAAGTACCTGAGGGTGATTGCTCGGGCCACAGGGTCATTGCTGTGGATGACAGAAAACACTCTTTTGACAAACTCATCCACATTCAGGATCTTCTCCAAGTGTTTTTCACTCAGCTGCGTGACCTTCAGCACACACAGCCGCAGGAAATTGTTGCTGATTTGGGGAGGGAGTGGGAAGGATTCAGGGAAAATGGGGAAAAAAAAGAAAAAATAAATAAAAGGGAAAAATAAATAAATAAATTAACAAATAAATAAACTGGGATATTTCTGTTAGGCTTAAATTACTGCTTTCTTGTTAAAGTACTGCAATGATTTCCAAATTATTAACACATATTTTTTGTAATAAAACAAAAACAAATATCATTAGCCGCTTTTCCACCATCATGCCGAACCGTTCTAAGAACACTTTGGTACGGTTACGGTTGTTTCTCCACTGAGCCTGGAACGGCGCGGCACAATTACAAACCGTTTCGGCACGAAATTCTCGGCACGGTCAGACAACCATGCTGAACTGTGCCGACAGATTCTGTGTGTTGACGTTGCCAAGCTACCACAGCTGGCTCAGCGGAACCATGCTAGTCATCAGACATCCACAAGTAAAGAACACTACATTTAATATAAAAAATTATCCAGGTCTAAACGATACAGTTTGAAAAGGGTTTTAAAACCATAGAGCACTCTCTGGCAGAGAAGTGAATAACTCATCACATTCTCATGAAGATATTTTATTTATTAAAGTTATTATTTCATTGACTTGTATACAATTACCCATGTATAATATAATTACTAATGCTTCATCTATAATTTTAAAAATAATAAAATAGCCTATTGTTTTATTCATGGCTAGAGTTTGATTAATTTGATTAAAATCCTGGGCAATGAGACCTTTAATTCGCCAGACTGAGTGTGTGTTTATTGCATGCAGCGCTGTATTTGATAGCACAAAACTCTCTGAGAGAACTTTACCAGTGACTACATGCACCGCTGAATAACTTTTTTGTTTTTTGAAAGACTTTCATTGAGTAGGCTGATTTATACTTCTGCGTCAAACGCCGCATACGCAAACGTATGCATAGCCCTTCGCCGTGGCCGTCGCCGTCACTGAAATGCACCTCTCAAAAAATGTAACTACACGTCGCAGCAAGCGAGCGATTGTTTACAAGTGTGGAGTCCCTTGAAGGAGCTTCGGATGGAAAGTTTCGTTCTGTGTTTACCTCATAGTTAAAGTTGATGCACGTCCGCCGGTTCCTGCCTCAAAATGAGCGAGTTTGAGTCACTTGTACTTCCAGGAAGTTTTCAGGAAACGCAAAAAAGCAGCGAAGAAACTCGACACAGAGGAAGATTTACACCTCAATGCCAACTAGCGTTTCGGAAGCGTTAATGCAGACCAACAGAGACAGCGCGCAGAAGTATAAATGCACAGCCACGCGCGTTGCCTGCGCCGTGGGTTACGCCGGTCACTTGACGCAGAAGTATAAATCAGGCTTTAAAGTGAATAAAGACACACTTAACATCATCGATGTCCAAATTACACAACAACATCGCTATATCCATGAAATACACAAACTTGCAGACTCTTTGAACAACGAGGAAATAACTGGACTTTTAATTCAAAGCCCAGACGGCTTGTTCATTTATTACCAGCAAGACTACGAAGGAGGGTTACGGCGTGTTGTAATGTCGGCCGTCCACGTCTTCGGTAAAGACAAATCTTCCTTTAGTTGTTTTTGGACTTTGCTTGAAAGCTTTACAGAGTGGCACTGTAGCTGTACAAGGTACTTGTATGATTTATATTATAGCCTAAATAACCACCAATAAACTAGTTAAATAAATTAATTAATTAAAAAAATATATGGATTCTTGAATGTCGGTATTGCTTTTGCTCAAAAAATATCACTAGGTTTTGACAAATGTTTTATAAAAATAAAATGGGCTTTTTTCATAATTTCAGCTATGGGCCATTATGTGATTCAGGTATACATAAGTTTGACATTTATGGGGGCATGTAACATGTTTCTGTGTTTTCGTTTTTTTGTTCTCTGTGATCTTTAATATATACTGGGCAGCTGTGCAAAATATTTTCTAAAACATCAAGCAGGAATTTATTTATCTAGGAATTTATCTTGTTAGTTAAAGGGCCATGAAACCCCCTCGTTTCAGCAGGGTGTTTTCACACCTCTACTTTGGAAAAAGTCAGAAAAGTGGGCGTGTCCAGCTCTGTTTAGGGGGGAGTGTCGGAGGAACTAAAGTGGGATGGTGTGGGAGTGTCTATTTGTGCACGCGCGAGTTTCAGAGTCAAAATACACACACACACAGACAGGAGAAAGTGATGGTGTTTAACCTACATGGACATCTGTAGTCGAATTATTTGCCAAATTATTAAATGGTGGACTTTAACTGCAGTTTGGCTCTTTCATTCAGGGAATTCATTCATGCCTCTCGCGACAAACGAGATATTTGATTCGAGGAACTGATCTAAGCGTGTATTTTTCATGCAATGTTTGATACCGCACGACGAATGAGAGAAAAAAAAACCTCCGCATTTCCCGGAAACTTAGATGCACACGGCAGGTAGTGTCAGAAAGCCGCGTGTGTTATTCCGGTCACAAAATGCGGTGCTAACATTTCAGCACTCAGTGCAATAGTTAACTTAATTCGATACGAACAAACTGAATAAAAAAAGAGCACTGTTCGCTCACTTACCAAATCTGTAGAGACAGGACAATCACCAGCAACTAGAGCCGCGTCTATATGGAGAGAATACTACAAGCGAATCCAGATTTCAGCGTTTGCAGATGAGAACAGCTCTCAGGTAAACAATGTTCCTCCTTAGTCACGTAAGTTATTGTTGTCGAGCGTCGCGTACACTGTAATCCACAAGTGATCCAGATAAGCTCTCACAGAGAGAAAATGAAAACGATACTTAATGGCAGCAAACTATAAAAGCAACACTTCACGCTTGTTTTGCCAACACAACGTGGCGTCTTTGTGGTGTAAGCACGGTGACACAAAGGAATATTAATGAAGTTGCACAGTAGAGCGCGCTGATTGGTTTGAACCAAGCCTTACTCATGCATTAATGTATCACACTGTAAGACGTAATAAGACTCACTCTGGCACAGACGCCCAGTCTGCACGCTGGAATACACGCTATTATGTCATGACCGTGACGCAGCTTCAAAAATTCGTTTCAAACAGGAAGTACAAATTTGCTTGAAATAACGCAAAAACAACCAATTTACACTTTTTAGTGAAATATAGGTGTCCTAATAGTGTTTTTAGCAGTGTGGGACACATATACGACTGTCAACAGCTCAAAAAATGTGTTTTGGTGTTTCGTGACCCTTTAATTATTAAGACAAAAAAAAATTAAATTACAATGATAAAATTATAAAAATACAAAGATAAAAGAGCAGCGTTTTGCTAAATATTATAGTTCTTTTTATGCTTCATATCCTGCTATATATGTTTTGTTTAATATTTGTTTTTAATTTTACCTGCTACATTCGTTATTTAATGTTTGAATACTGAAACAAATTACAGCCATTGCTTAAAGGGTTATATTTCACCATCAAAATGTAGTATATATTATATCAATATCAAATTTTGATATAAAACCGCTGTGTAATTTAATTGATTGTTAAAAATGAAATAATTTAAGTGCTATTTTTTTTTATTAGAGAAAGTGCCATCCCAATTTGACAAGGCCTGTCCAAAAATATATTTCTGCCACTATAAATAGCCTACACTATTATTGTTGCCTTATCATTGTTTAATTTTGTTATGTTCAGAGATTTTAAATATATAATTTATTTCCCCTCCAATCATGTTCAATTATCACGATTAGGGGTGTAACGATACACTCAGCTCACGATACGATGTGTATCACGATATAATGTTCACGATTCGATATGTATCACGATATTTGGAATAAAAATTGAAAATTTAACTGAAACGCAAATTTTACCAAGTAAACTATTTTTTTATGTATTTCTTTTGTTTCTACTTGTTAAACTGAACCTTCTTTTAGAAAATATATTAAACAGGCCTGTCTCTGAAAAATAAAACAATTTAAAAACTTCTTAAAAAATATTATTGAAATGACAGAGACAAAATTAAGGAACAATTAAACTAAAGGTGCAAAAAAATAAGCTTTTTTTCTCATCAATTGAATTTAACAGTAAGAGCTTAAGGCTTTGCTTGGTCACTTGCGTTTTTTGTGTGTGCAAAAAAAATCCACATTTTCAGGTAATCAGCAGTTCTATAAGATAATCCTGAACCTATGTGTATCTGTCTGAGAGGTTTTTATGGATGGCTGTCTTCATGTTGGGCATGATGAGTGACAGGGTGGCCGTCTTTTCATCACACAGGACAGTCGAGCCTTTTCAGCAGTTTAGGCAGGTTTACTATTTCTTCGGCGTCACTGATGTCGGCGTTATCAAGTGTATCATGTTGACGTGCATTTTTGTGTACCTCTGTACTCAAAAGGGTTAATGCTCGTCGTAATCATAACTCTAAAATGCGATATGATTGTTTAAATAATGTGTACGTTTTCGGTTTCATTTCCACTGCTAAGTGCTGTTCACACACGCGGCTCCTGAACGATCACTCTGTTCCACAAACTGAATGTTGTTTACTACTTTATTAGTCACAACCTGCAGGTTCTGTTCACTGAAGCAGACGCGCGCGTATGGCAAGCCGTTTTAACATTTAAACCTTTGTTCTGACTATCCATAAATATATTTAATTCATATTTAATTAAATTCATTTAGAGATATCTCTAATTATATTTTGACTAGTCGAATTATAATTATGACTAGTCAAAATATAATTAGAGATATCTCTAAATATATTTATGAATAGTCAGATCAAAGGTTTAAATGCTAAAACGGCTTGCCATACGCGCGCGTCTATCATAGTCCGCCCTCTGTAGTAACAGCTCACGTCATGTGTGATTTTGCGGCCGCCAATACATCATTATATGAAGACAGAATGATATTTTAGGGTGAATTGTACCTTATAAATACAGTATGTGACTCTTTCAACACCATTAGGAGGTATCCATGTCGCTGTGCAAAGTATGTAAATCACTGTGAAGACTTTAAAACTTAGGATGTTTGACCCAGTATGCGTGTCAAAAAGCGGACGAGTCTAAAGCAATGACTGTACAACCGAAATGTTGCCAGACGTCTGATTTTGAGAGGATGGGCCATCCTCTATATCAGCTCCACTCATCTTGGTCTGCTAACATTACTGCTGCTGCAATCTGAACTCACGTGCGACAGCAGGTGGAACGTAGCTCACGTGCAAACAGCTCAACTAATAAGAGAAAACGGACGTCATATCGTAATCAAATCGTCATAACACCACGATGCATAGAGACATTTTTGCATTGCAATAAATCGTACAACGATAAATCGTTACATCCCTAATCACGATATATTTTGGTAATTTTCCCCCTAAATAAAATTTAGCCAGATCCGCACAACATACCTCTAAATAAATAAGGGTGCTGACGTATGTAGCCTACCTATATTTAGCAACCCTATTTAATAGAGCGGCATAACAGTGCTAGTCACATGGTTGCTTTCACTTTTATGAACATGAAAAAAACTAGTTTCGGCTATTATTTAAATTTAATTGAACAAAGGGAGCTGTTTACATTGCGTTAACCAAGGCAACTACTGATGCGGTTTGTGTAATGTTTTTAAAGAGCTTTGTCGCAGCAGGACAGTGGAAAATGAAACCGTATCCGTCCTGTCTGGCCTGGTTTGGCACGGAATGGAACGGTTCTGCTTAAAGAACGATTCAGCACGATAGTGGAAAAGCAGCTATTGACAATTTTGTTACCATATCTAAACTATTAAACATGACATAATTCGTATGTATTTATATGTGCAATTACCCAAGTCTGAAGATATCTGCCAGCTTCAGGAAGGCAGAGTTGATGAGGATGGGGAACGGGTATTTCTGGAAGAGTTTGGGAAAAAGGACCACGGCTTCACACTGCTCGCCCAGTTTACAAGACCGTAAACCTGGAGCAAAGACAAAATCAGAAGTGTGTGAGTAAAAGGAATGATTCACGCTCAAATATGTATGTTTTTTATTCATACTCTGTAAAAATGTTGGGTTCCACAATAGCATGAATGGATTAAGTTATATTATTAGATTTTACAAATTTTAGTTGATTGAATCTAAAACAACTAAGTGTTCCCAAAATAAAACTTAACAATTGTGTTGTTTCTGTTAATTTTAAATAAATGAACAAACAGCATACATTTGTCAAGTTACTCTATAACGATGGTTTGTTTTGTAGACTATCGGAAAAATATATAGCTTAAAGGGCCTAGTAATTTTTACCTTAAAATGTTTCTTAAAAATATAAAAACTGCTTTTATTCTTACTGAAATAAAACAAATAAGACTTTCTCAAAAAGAAAAAAATATATTATCAGACATACTGTGAAAGTTTTCTTGCTCTGTTAAACACTATTCTGGAAAAAAAAAAATAACAATTCAAATGGGGGCTATTAATGCTGACTTCAACTGTATTGCTTTTTTAGTGTCACATCCTTTGTTTGTTTTCTAAACCCATTTCAGTTTTATTACTCTGTCGAACACTAAAGAAGATATTTTAAAACCTGAACCACACTGTTCCAGTTACTATGACCATTTATGTGAAGCTGCTTTGACACAATGTACATTGTAAAAGCGCTATACAAATAAAGCTGAATTGAATTGAATTGAATATTTTGAAAAAAGCTGTAAACCTGTAACTATTGACCTACATTTGTTGTCCTACTGTGGAAGTCAAAGGTTACTGATTTTGAACATTGTTCAAAGTATCTTCTTTTGTGTTTGCAGCATGCTTTTTTATATAATTTAAGCACTTTTCAGATGCACATTTTTTGAATGCATGTGTATGTAAATGTGTGGCATATTACACATTTACATACACACACATGCTTTATTACATTTTATCAGATTCTATTCATAAGATTTTTTTTTATATGAATGTCATTTACTTAAATCTTAGATGTATCTAATTTCATCTTATACTCAAGGAGTGCAGACAAAATAAGATAGAAGGCAGATCATGCTACAGGCTTATGTACAGACCCCAGATTTTCATTTTATGCACAAGCAATGAGAGTTATTATACTTTTATTTAAACAGTAATTTTCACTGTTATTACCCGTTTAATAAGACAGGTAAAGTTGGTTTTATATTCGTACATTTGTTCATTGACAACTTGTGACACGCTCCCTATAGCGTTTACCATGGTACTTTGAATATTCAGTATAAAATCACATGTAAGTGTGACTTCAAAACAACATAAGCACAATTTTTTGACTGTAAACAATGTTGTACGTTCAGTAAGATCAATGATTATGAAAGCAATGCAATTACTTTCCAAGCACTTCATCCATAATCTAAGCACTTTTTAGACCTTAGTAGTTTAAAATTAAAGCATTTTATCACCCGTGTGGCGTGTGCAAAGAAGAAGAAACTCATAAAAGTCAAACTACTTGACGGTTGCGTAAATTCTGGATCTTTCCATAACATATGTTACATCCCTAAAACATTCTGTAAAAATGAAAACAAAGCACAGTATAGACTAAAGTACAGTAGTAGCCTACATAATAAAATTATAGAAGAGCTTTTTCATGCGAACAGATACAATGTATGATATTCAACATTAAAATAGCACACACACACACTGCATCAAAAAACAAATACACGTGTGTTGTTTATAAAGAGCCACCTTTATCGAGCTCCATCAGCGCTGAATTGGCGTCCAGCTCCTGCTCGCCGTATGCCGCCTCCGAAAGAAACGAACGCGCTGCTGAAAGCGACATTGTTTATTATTAGACTGCAAAAAATGTAACCCGATAGACTGCTCTCGGATTTAACACTTTATTTGTTTTATCAGATGGAGATTTTGTGCATTAAGTTTGAAGTGTGACCCGGTTGTAAAGCAGGTCACGTGACGCACAACGCCAGTTTCGTCGTCGGGTTTCCGTTGCGCTACAAGGAACGCTAGAAGCGAAAGCGACCCAAAGAGGTGACCAAAGAAGGCGGGGCTTATGAGTCGGCATTTACCCTGATTAGTCTAAACCTCTGCTCAGCTTTTAGGCTCTTCATGCTATCATAATTTTTATTTAATCATTTGCAAAATTATATATATATATATATATATATATATATATATATATATATATATATTATTGCTTGCTATCAGAACAAAATCCAAAGGATCCCAGAGATCACTTTAAAATGATCAATAGTATACACAGTCATAAAAATTATCACAAACACATACAAATAACATATCATTAGACTGAAAGGGAAAATATTAATAATTATAATATTAATAATAATAAAATTATGATAATAACAAAATTACTAAATTAAACAAACTAAATTAAACAAATGAATGAAATTACAATGACACTTAAACAAATAACCAAAAGGAAAGCAACTAAACTTAAGCATCTCCTACATCTGTATAATATTTCAGGAATTTTAGGGTTTTTTATTCTTAATAAGATTAAGTTTTTGTGTTTCTGTGGCGTTTACATGTTCTTCCAGTGTTTGCGTGGGTTAAAAAAATATATGCTGTAGGTGAACTGGGTAGGCTAAATTTTGTGTGTGTGTGTGTGTGTGTGTGTGTGTGTGTGTGTGTGTGTGTGTGTGTGTGTGTGTGTGTGTGTGTGTTTGTGTGTGTGTGTGAATGAGTGTGTATGGATGTTTACCACTTATGGGTTGCAGCTGGAAGGGCATCCGCTGCGTAAAACCATATTCCGCAGTGGCAACTCCAAAACAATAAAGGTACTAAGCCAAAAAGGAAATAAATGAAATAATGAATATATATATATATATATATATATATATATATATATATATATATATTGTTAATGTTAATGTTAACCCGGATTTTTTTGGGGCCACATGGCGCCTCTAGTGTTCGCAGCCATTCCACTCCGCTCGCAGTGGCTTAACACTTCCTGTTTCCTGACGTGTCGACCAATTAGAACACTGTTCGTCCATCTCGCGGGGAATTCGTCTTCAGCGCTTTTTCATTGTTCGCGGGAAACTTACCACTTCTGAACGCGACTTGCATCCTGCAGCGATGACTCTTTTTCACCATGTTGTTGATCGAGGGGCTAAAAAAAGAGGACGAAATGGTGAGTTTGCTGAATATACGTTAACCTAAACCAGCGTTATTACACTATTTACACTGAAATACTTTGTAATAATCAGGTGAGCAGCGGCTGTTTCCTCTGTCGTCTCTGCTGGACGGCTATGAATGCGCTCGGCGGGATGAACACATCTCTTATGGAGCCTCCGCTGCTGCCGTGCCGCCATTCGGATGCACATTTTCCTCCGGTAAACATTTATTTCTGCATTCACAATGAGTTCGAAGTCAGTAGTACAGAATTGTGCAAAGACATTATGTTTGTGCTGGTTTGTTTTCTATGTTTAGCTCATGGACAACAAAACTGTCTTGCTGTAGCCAACGAAGAAGGGTTTGTGACCATCTTCAACACTGGAGAAAAACAAAGCTCTGTTCTGAAAGGTTGGCTTCAAGTTTACCTGGAAATATTTTAAAGGTTTAAACTAGTTCGCTTTTGGAAAACCCTATTTCCTATTGGCGTCAAATATAAAATGGGTTGACCGAAATCTCAACAAAAAGTGCAATAAAGCTTTGTGTTTCCCCTGTTAGGAAAATAAAATAGAAAAACATTTTTTTTTGTCATACTGTCATAATTTTTTAAAATCTTGTTTCGGAAATGTCATTCATTGTAACCACACCAAAAAAGTTAATAACTATTTCTTAGCCACATATTTTAAACAATGTGTCAAAAATGGGAATAAATCTAGAATTTAAGTGTTTTACAAATGTTAATAAATATATAATATGCAAAAATCAAAGTGTTATGCAAACAAAAATGGCAGTATGGAAAATGTGCAGGTATTTTATTGCAAATCAAAATGTGGCTGACCTGCCAAACCGACAGCAAACTGGGCAACACATCACTTGTTTTTTTTGTACCCACATAAATGTAGGTTTCCAAGAGGTTAGAAACATGTTTTCGTTTAGCCTCATAATTTGATGTTGCTATCTTGTTACCAGGTTATGGAAAAAAAGTATGTGCTCAGAACGTCTAATCACTTAAAAGGAACATGTAACATGGTGTTTATGACATCACAGAAGAGGTAACATTAAAAGGCTTAAAAGCAGAAACTTGATTCTTAGGCTGCCTTTGCATGCAATTGACAAATGGTCTCAGCCAAATTAAACCTTAGTGACATGAAAGCCCGATCGGGCAAGTTATGATCCTGTCTACTGTTCTGAATGTCTCTTATACTGACCAGGGCCATCTGGCAGTCCTTATTGTTAAGCCCTGAAATATTTATTTTTGGTAAAGTTGATTTTTCTATTCAGAGTTTATCCTGCTTAACCTAAATTCAAAATAAAAATTATTTGCAATCAATTCTAAATAAGGAAATGATATTAGCAGCCAATGAGCCAATTTTGAGTTCTTAAGTCTGAATTGGGAGATATTGCCTCACAATATTCACAAATAAAGTTAGAATTCTGAGAAAATGTTGCAATTACCTTTTTTAAAAATATTTTTTTATCAGTAGCAGGAACATGCTTCCTCAGATTTCAGATGATCACTTTTTTTTTTAAATTAATGGTTGCATTTTAGCTGACTACAGTTGTACAGCACACATCACTTGCATCACATTATATATTCAAATGAATTTTTTTATTCAATCATATCTTTAAATATATGATTAACATTCTGATTGAAAGTGCTAATTTGTAGACAGTTCCTTACATAAATGATGACGTTACAACCTTCCATAGCTATTGACCTTATTCTAAAATGCGGAAGTGCGCCTGTTTTCACGATTGTCTTAGAACTTTCGATTCAGTCGCCTATGGGAGAAATGACTAGGAATAATAAACGGCAGAAAACGGTCAAACTACTTGCTCTAAAAACAAATGTTTGCATGACTATACAGACCAAGTAGAATAATATAATAAGAAAATATCAAATTGCAACATCAAGCAGCGTAATAAGCAGTTTTTAACGTCAAAAAATGAATGGAAGTGAATGAGACCAGAAGTTTCAAGCCAAAAATATTCAAATGGCAGCGCCCGCTCATCGACGGAGAATAAGTTGAATAAGCGTATTTAAGTTGTACAGTTACATACGTATAATGCATTGTTCATAATAGTACATCATGATAATCCATATTAGCCCTTTTAAATTCTGTCAGATTGTGTGAATATAAAAGAAAGGTTAAGTAGGATAACGTTTTCTATTCTCTGAATAGAATAAGAGCAGAATAAGTATGTTTAATTTTTACACTCACACATATCTATATCTGTTTATGCATGCTGAATGAAGACGGAACATTATTTCACCTATATTTGACAATAATAATAATAATAATAATACATTATATTGCGCTTTTTTCAGCCCCAAAGCGCTAACAGGCATACAAGGCAAACAAAGCAGAACAATAAAAACAGTCAAAAAATAAAATAAAAAGACTGCAATAAAATATGAATGGCTCACTACAATAGGATTATAAAATAACAAAAATAATCTAGGTTAAAAGCAACGGTAAAAAGGTGACTCTTAAGAAGTTTCTTAAAACAATCCAGTGAAACGGCAATATCACAAGGTTATTTTAAATATTATAGTAGAAACTTCTTTTTGCATTGACAGTGATTTATACATGCACAAAATCACTTTTGTTAATTAAATTTTGGTGTTTCATTGATGTAAAACGTGTGTTTTCCAGAATGGCAGGCACATGATAATGCAGTTTTTGATATTGCCTGGGTTCCTGGAACCAATTGCTTAGTAAGTGTTGAATGATTTTTTTGTTTATAGACTTTTTCAGTGTGTAAGACATTTTGTTTTCTGTAGATTTATAAGTGTTGTCTTAAATGGGAATTGTCATTTGCAGGTAACTGCATCCGGTGACCAAACTGCTCGTCTGTGGGATGTTATTACTGGTGACCTGCTGGGAACATTTAAAGGACATCAATGCAGTCTCAAATCAGTAGCTTTTTACAAGCAAGAGAAAGGTAACAATAACACTTCAGCTACTTTTATAATAGCATACCAGTTTTTCTATATGTTAAATGCAAACATATGAATGAAATTTTCAATGTCTTTGATGCACTGCACTGATATTGTATTCTATGATATGATGCGCACATTATCTTGGTCAGTCTTTTTTTAACTGGTTTCTTATGGCTCGTTTCCACTGACTGGTACTGTACTGGTCGGTAAGGCTCACCTTTATCAGGTTTGCGTTGATATGCACCTTTATCAACTGTTAAAAGGGTTCCAATGGTACTCTTTTTGGTGGGTGTTATGTAAGACAAAGTTTCAGACGACGTCATCTTCGCTCGAGGAAATGTCTAAAGTAAAGCTGTACAGATCATTCACAAATCACATGAGAAGCACTTCTCACAAAACAGAAACACGCAAATACTTAAATGTTTATTACTAACTTTTCTAATAACATAGTTTAATTATAACTGCAGATCAATTATCAAAATAGCCTACTGTAATCTCTGCAATTATATAAAATAAATAAATAAATGCAACGTATATGAACACATACACACCCTTACAGTCTCCAATATGTCACCACTTACAGAAAAAAAAAAAACTCCCCAGCATACATTTAGTTCTTATTTTGGTTCCAAAACAACACAAAATATAGCCCACAGTCAGTGAAAATGCCTCATATGTGTCTTTAATCTTCAGCAGCACCTGTAGATAGCCTCTTGTTAGAGAGTAATTCCGTCATTCTGAATTCATAATAGTCCAAAAGTTGATGATAATAGTTAAAAATGGCAGTTTGTTCATGTTTTAGTTTTGCTCTTCTTGGCTTTGTGGCTGTTCATCAAGACGACAGCAAGGTTTGTTTGGGCTCGGGTCGACCATGGCTCGTTATTATATGTATATAATATTATGGTGTAATGCAGTGGTTCTCAAACTGTGGTACGCGTACCACTAGTGGTACGCGGGCTTCCTCCTAGTGGTACGCGGAGGAACCGCTGAATAATGAAAGAAACAATTAACACTTTTAATCCTTTAATGCCTAATATAACATCGATGTGATCAGCATTGGCTGTTTTGTGAAGCGTACGATCACAACGCTGTGCTTGGAGTGTTTATTTTAGTGCATTGTATCATAAGCTGCTATAAATCAGTTTCCGAAGTTTAAGAATTGATTCTGAAGCGTGATTTGACTGACATGAAAAGTAGCCAATCACAGTCGACCTTGTCTAGTTGCGTGAAACGTAAGGGCGGGACGAATGCTTTCTGTGTTGCAGAGACAGAAAAAACAACTTAAAAACAAATGTTTTGTTGGAATAATGCTTCTCGGATGTTTTCACTATCGAGATGTCTAGCGGAGTAATTAAACCGCGGACATATTTCCTGCCTTTTTGATGATCTACAAACACGTTTCGCTCTCCGACAGCGAGTCGACTCGCCTTTGACCTGTCACTCCTCTAAATACATTCTGAATGGCGGCGCGGGAATGAAGGTATTGCGCAATAACTCATTTCTACAAATGTGGCGAGTGCTTTATTTTAACACGAGAGCGCATTCATGTGCGCAAATCGCTAAAACAGATATGCGAGCTCTTAAATAGGCTTTTTTTTTTCAAATGAACTGCAAGTCCTTTCAGGATCGCCTGTGTGCTCAGATTGAATACAATCGCGATCTTTCCACTATTAAAGTAGACATTATTTATCTTTGTTCCTTGACTAAATTTAGTCAAAAGTATTCAAAGTAATCAAGTACTAAGAAATAGATTGATACATGATCGATGACAATGCTAATGGTCTTCTTATTTGGCTGTGTTGTGAAGTGAAACTTACTTTTAGCAAAGGTGTATTTTTTTCTTTTTTTTCTTTACGACAAATTAATTATGCTGGAAATGTTTCTGGATGAGGTATTTGTGTGATTTACACATTTAGCTGTATTCTGATCTGTCCTAAAGCATTACAGGTCAAAGCAATCCATTGTTACTTATTGTTTATTTATCAAAATTAACAATAAGGCTCTTAAAGCACTGCTTTGATAAATGTAGTGTTGTCATATTTTAAATACCTCAAGTAAAATTAAGTCATTTGTTTTATTTTTTTTTACTGACAGTGTACTTGTATTTTTTTTAAAGTTTCTATTTAAGATTAGCTTAAATGTAAAATAAAATCTACATGTGATGTACAGCTTTTTAAGAAACAAATTTGCCATATTGTAAAGAAAAATAGTGTAAAATATGTAAATAAAAGGCTAAATTTAAATCTTTTTACCATATACTTCAATTAAACCTTTCAAAGCTTGTAAATATCGTTTAAAAAATTGGCAAAAAGTGTCTCTATGGCCTTAAAGATTATTTGGTAGTTTTATCAGTGCTATTGAAAAAGATTAATTGTCACGAAAGGAAAAATCGACCATACTTTCTTTGTTAGTGCAATTTCCTATACATGTAGCTTTGGTATTTAAGCAATTAAACCATTCAATCAGGTTTCCACGTAAAAAAGTGATTTCATAATGAAAATCTGATTTTTTTTTTCAAAAGTAACCAACTAGTACTTTTTAAAAGAGTACTTTGTACTTTTACCTAATATTAATATTATTTACTAAAATTTGTGTTATTTTAGCTGTGTAATAGTATTTTTACTTGAGTACAAAAAAGATTTCTCAAGCATTTATTGCAGGTTCATTATATTATTAATAATATGATCAATAAATATTATTTTTTTATGTTTTTTATTTGTATCTATTCCTATGCAATGTTTTATGGGTTGCTGAGAATACTTTTCAGGTCTTCAATACATAGCATGTCAGTCTTGAAAAAAAATAATAGGTGCTGTAATTGATTTTTCATTAGGCTGTGCCTGTATGAACCCTGTCATATGTACATTTAACATATTTCAAGATTTGTCTGAAAGTGTAGGAATGTGACATATAGCCTATATTTATAAGGTCCGAGCAACATCTCCAGCTTTTGATGAATAGGCTACAATGAATACTTTAGATTTAAGTACAGCAGTTTTCTTTTTACTTTTTAAGAACAGCGCCATTTTTTAATGAACTTTTAAGAGCACATTTTAACAAAAACTTTTTTTTTTAATCTGCAAGCACAGTTAATGTTCAGACTATTTCAAATGTTTAAAATGAATGATAATAATACATATTCTTAATAATAGGAATTAATCTGTATCGTTTTTAAACTGTGCACACCTGTAGCTGCTTAATTTGGCCTACGACGCTATTTTTTAATACTGGTTAAAAAATAGCGTCGTAAGGTGGTACTTGGAGAGACAATTTTTTTCTAAGGTGGTACTTGGTGAAAAAAGTTTGAGAACCACTGGTGTAATGTATCGGCTGTGTTTGTAAAACATGCTGGTTCCTTTGTTTTCATTTTCACTAGCGAATGAAGTATCTCTGTAAACCAATAGTGTTCAGCTTCACGTCTTGCTCCGCCTCTTGGTACCCTTGGTACTCGTTGCAAAGGGTGCTGAAAAAGTGGTTCGGTTTAGTATGCCTTTTGACAGTGGAAACGACCATAAAAGTGTACCATACCACTCAGTGGAAACGAGCTATGAATGCAGCTCATGCTGTCAGTGATTATTTCAAATTACAAATGAAGTCCAATTACAAAATTAGTCTATTCAATTGCATTTTAGCTTAAGGTTGCAAAGTTAGATGTTTCCGAAAGTTTAAAACCGCACCAATACAATAATGTTTACACATAGTAGCATTGCTATCAGATAAAAAAGGTAATCTATTTTCCTTTATTATTGGAGTTATCCAAATTCTGTAAACCACTAGAATTTTAGTGGTCATTAGCTGCATTTCCACTATCGGGCCAGTGCGAGCCAGGGCTTTTAACCGGCCGGGCCAATCGCCCGGGAGGTTGAGTAATGAGGCCGATATCATGTTGCGTTTCCACTGTCGGGCTAGTAGGTCGCAGCGCGTCACGCAAACACCAGAACGCCCCCCGAATCAAACGTCACTTCAGCTGGAATCAGGTAGATAAAGCACACCATGGAATTATCACGAAACGAAACCATTAAAATGAAGACAACCGAAACAAACAAGTGACACGTTACTGTACAGCAGTACATTATATGTCTATATAAAAGGTGTATAACACACCTTTTAAACTTGACAAAAACTCTCGAAAACCCTTACTGTCTGCTGTGTTTTTAATATGGTGTAAAGATTATTATGCGTTATTGAAACATTAAGGGGGACGCAGCAAAGAACGTCACTATAAATTAAAACTTTAGTATTTTATGCAACAGCCTTACATTTAAAAGGGAAACATACGGGTGATCATACGCTAAAAGACCCCAGACTATAAGGCTAGATGTTTTCTTTGCCTTATTTTTATTTATTTATTTGTTTGTTTGCTTGGCGCATGTAGCCTCATGTGCGATCAGAAAACTGCCCGCCTCTCACTTTGCCCCGAAGCCCCAGCTGGCCCTCCTTGGCCCAAGGTATTCGGCAGGCCGAAAAAGGCCAGCCGCTGGCCCCAAGAAAGCCCCGCTTTGGCCCGATTAGGCCCCAGAAGTGACAGTGGAAACGCGACTGGCCTTGGCTCGCCCTGGCTCGCTTGCTTTAGGCGCGATAGTGGAAACGCGGCTATTCTAACTGTTTTTGTCTAACACGTCATATTGTCACATGTTTACATTCAAGCTTTTATTAACAAATTAGGATTAAGCTTTCAATGTCTGTTGGTGTATTTTATGAAGTAATTACCTTAAAAATCTTCAGAAATCTTATTGTGTTTTGTAACTTAAAAAAAAAAAAAGTTTGAAAGAAATGTTAGGACCTTTAGGAAAAGTCATGGTATTATAGATATGTGGGTTTATTTTTATATTATTTAATATAAAAAGGCGTTACAGTGGTGCAGTGGGTAGTACTGGGTCAGTTGGCGTTTCTGTGTGGAGTGTTATATAGGTAGGGATGCACTGATACCACTATTTTACAAACCGATATGGGTACGAGTATTTTAATTTGGGTACTCGCCGATGCAAAGTACCAATTCAGT